TCTTCTATTCGATTATCTAAGTCAACATATACCATATTCATTCTAAAGAATCTATTAGATATTTAACTGCTAATACTTTCATTGGCTACACAATAGGTGGAGACCACAGCCGGTTGGATTGTTAGTTAGATTCCCCCTCATCCCAGCATAAACATTAAACTGAGCCCTGACTGAAGGATTCAGCAGTCTTATTATGTAAATGTGAGCCTTAGTTTTACTAAATGAAAATGTAGTACAACTTATAAAGGCTTTTGCTGAATGGAAATGATGAAAATTGACTTTGAATCAAGGTTTCTTATACCACAAACTTCAGCAGAAGGTAACTAAACAGGACATACAACAAAGAGATATCAACATAGGAGGAAATGATTTGCCATACCGATGTTAGTCCACCTAAAACTTTTACACCATCAAAACCAACATACCTGAAGCGGACGCGTCTAAGTTCTCGAGTGCCACCTGGTAGTGCTCTGATAGTGATGTATACTCCAGGTTCATCCTGTTCAACCCATTCAGTCTCCATATCACTGGCATTACTGACTGAAAGCTCTCCTGAAAAATCTACCTCCCTTGATGAACTAGTCCTTGCAGAACCATCCACTGATAATGTCTCAGTCTTGGCCCCGCTGATGCTAGAAAGTTTTGGCGTTGAAGCAAGACCAGCTGAATCACAGTAATGACCGGATTGCACTGGCTGGTGATCAAGTGAATCAGAAGAAGAATAACCCATTCCTGTTGGGCGTTGGAAGTTACGTGGATGTTCTCTGCTGAGTGGTGGAGTCACAGGGCTATCCTTTGTAGATTCAATTCTTGAGCCCTAATAAAAGGTTTGAAAACTCCATTAGATCCAAAAGATATCTAAAATAAAATATTATGAATCCTTTAAGATCCACATAAAACCTTATAGCCAGCAAGTGATACAGTTCGCGGAATGGAAGGATGAACGAAACCAGGACAATAAAAGTTCAAACAATAAAATTCTCTGAATATAAAAATATACGTTGCTATAATAACTGTTTTAAGTCCTTAGCGAGGGATGTTCTTTATGAATGTGGAGTCACAGGGCTAACCCTTTGCAGATTCAGTTCTTGAGCCCTAATGAAGGGTTTGAAAACTCCATTAGATCCAAAAGATGATCTAAAATAAAACAAGATGAACCCATTAAGATCCATATTAAAAGCTCACAGCCAGCAATTGATTCAGTTCACAGAATGGAATGATGCATCGAAACCAGGATAGTAAAGGATCAAACAATAAAATTCTCTAAATATTAAAATATGCATTGCTATAACAACTGTTTACGTCCATTGCGATGGACATTCTTTATTGAGTGGTGGAGTCACGGGGCTGTCCCTTGCAGATTCAATTCTTGAGCCCGAATAAAGGGTCTCCATTAGATCCAAAAGATGATCTAAAGTAAAATAAGATGGATCCATTAAGATCCACATAAAAGCTCATGGCTAGCAATTGATTCAGAGTGGTGGAGTCA